ATATATATATATATATATATATATATATATCATTGAGAGATAATCATGCTATCGTTTACACTCTTTTTAGTCGTAAAGAAGTGGCAAAGAAGTAGGAGAAAATAGAGGAAATTAAAAAAAATATATGGTGCATGGATAATGTATACAACATCGATAATGTAAATTTTAGATTATTATGCACAAACAAAAATGATCCGTTCACCTTTCACTTATCTGACACCTAATAAGAGAAAAGAAAGAAAAAAAATGCTAATGAAATATTTGTAATAAAGAATGGTTCATGTATCACCACTCTTCACTCAAATATGTCACACAATAATTGAACTGCCTCAAGTCTACAACCCTATCGTTATCTTCGAAGATCTGAATTCTATTTCTTGAAATTTCTTTTCATATACTTTATAACATTACAGATATTTATGATCAAATATCCTTACTATTACTAATAATACAAAACTTGGCATGGTTCATCTCTTTTCCTTTCGTGTACCAGACAGCTAGAAAGGTGAACCGTTGCAAAATGCTTAGTCTATATATATCTTCTATTAGAAAATGACCTTTGGCATGACATGACCAAATGAATATATAGATATAAATATATCAGAAAACGATAAGGCCGAATAATACGTTAAAGGGCAAGGTTGAAGCCTGATGCTTCACGTAATTCAGCTGAGTCTTGCAATGAAAACCGATGAGTTGATACTGTAACATGATTTCAGTTCTGTTTTCCATCACTATCTACACGAAAAGAATAAATGGGTAACTCTGAAACTGGCAAGTCAATAGTGGAAGTAGAATAAAACTAGTAAATGACAACTTGAAAATCAAGTCATTTAATTAGTGATTTTTAACTGCTTGTGTGCATAGACTAATAACTTCTTATTAACTAATTTGCTACCACCATCTTCCTCTGATTTTAAATTTGAGAAAATGTACCAAAGAAACATTGAGGGTTGTTTATACATAGAAGGACAATTTACTACCTACTGATATCGGTTCTATTATTCTAGGATAAACCTCAAAGTGGTGGATGCTTTAAAATTTACACCTATGAGTACAATACCACTATACCACAATCCTCAACTTTGCAATGAAAACTCTGAAATATTTTAAGATCTAACAGAAAGGTATTACAAATCTTTTGAAGGGTAGTAACTTCATTAGTTTTTCTCGCATTGGGTCGTTCTCTCCACTTCAACCCTTCCTTCTCTCGATCCAAAAATGACATGGAACAGGAAACACCTTAAAACTCTTCTTTTGATTTAGAGTCATCTTTCGTTTCAGACTTCTGAGGTGTACCCTTTTCCATATATTCTTGTTCAATAGTATCTTTGAGGATAAACAGCCTCTGAATTACCACAGGGTCAGTCATCTGCTTGGCTTCTCTCAAATCTGTTTCTTCCTTGTTCAGATGATATGCATCGAGCATGATCTTAATCCACTTGTGCAGCTCCTTTGGGGTGCTGCTTAATCACATAAAATTTAAACGAGTATATCACACCAATCACTAAAGAAAAGATATTTTTTTTAATGAACAATAGGAAACTCTCTCACGTGTACAGAGTATTAGGGTCCTTGGCTTCGAGTTCGTCACCAGGGGAGAAAGCTGTTGCCAATGCAGAGAAACGCTCTTCGGGATCTATGATGTTTAACAAATGCTTGAGTAGCTTTATTTCTTTTGGAGTAATACTCCTTAGGCTGCTCTTCGTGGCCTTGTATAATTGGTACATTATATCTTTCACCTGCACAATAGACATTTTAAAAAGGTCTTTGGTTTAATAGAAAGAAAAAAGAAGAGAATTAACTTAGCATAATTGATACTTGTATTCACTTATTTCAAAAGTAATTCTTGTTAGAATTGTTTTATTTAATAACTCATGATGTATTTGGATTTAATGATATATCACATACAAATATTTAAAATAAAAAATAATAAAAGTTGTGTTAACGTAATGTCTTATTTTTTGAAAATTTGTTTAGATGAATTTATCTATATGTGCACTTATAAATAAAAAAATCTCCCTAAAAGATTAAAATTAGCGTGCCCAGACACACATAAATAAACTAATTTGTAGATGTAAAAAAATTAGTTTGTAAAAGTTCTTTTATATTAATTTTTTCTCTATACGAACTAATTTTTAGCGTATGGAAGTAGTTTCAATTTATTGGAAAAAAATGTATTTCATTTTTAATTCTCATTTTTTTCTTAAAATACTTGTAAACAAATTTATTCAAACAAACTTTTAAAAAGTTTAAGGTTTTAGGACTTTAAAGTGTTGCGTTTTATTGGAAAAATTTGTATTTATGTGAAAATTCCCTAACACTAGCAGAGTATATTGCGTTTTGTTGGAAACTTTGTATCTATTTTGTAGAAGAAGAAAAAAAGTTATCTCCGTCCATTTATCTATATATCAGCTTGATTAAGGATATTGTGTGTTTCCTATTTGAAAAGAGGAATTCTGTGCATATATTTTTTTTACAACTAGAATGAGTATAGAAAAAATATACCAGATAACATGAATGACATAAGAAAAAAAGATATGAAATATAAATTATAAGAAAATATTATAAAAATAGAACAGTTATTGTTCTACTTACTGACATATGAAACTATAATTTATGTGGTATTTTATTTTATCAATAATGAAAATTACAATAAAAATAACAAAATTAAAATCCAAGACCTGTAAATATTATTTCAATCCACAGTTACGTCGACTGTCATAATGGTTCTATAATTCATGTAGTAACTCTATGTTATCGATAGTAGATAAATATATTATTCACATCAAACTATATTAAACGAACTCAAGTTTAACCATTGTTGTATGCTAGCTTCATTTATTCGAAGTTATTACGACGATTCACTTCTTATTGTATATATGACTTCAGTGAAGTCGATAGTTTTACAAGACGATTAAATGGCAAAAGGTCTTGGTAAAGATTCAAGTCTTCACTTGATCATCCAAATAACGTGTTCAAAAACACGTTAAAAATCAAGAAATCACGCAAGAAAAGCTATAATTATTATCTTAATTATATCTTAAATATAAAAGTTATAACCGAGATGTGGAACCAAATGCACCATAAACCAGTGTCTGAATCGTGTCAATGAAACCAAGCACAGTTTCAAGACTCTTGCCATGATCTGCAACAGTTAAAGAAGCAACAAATCAAAATCCCAAATTTCAATGACACTGTAAGCAAAAACCAAAATTTAAAAATAGTAATTAAAAGAGGAGATAGCACTAACCAAGTTTGGGAACTGTGTGGCCTTCAGGGTGGAAAATCACAACAGGATCCTTGAATGCTTCCAACAAAACACTATGCTCTGGCCTCGCTATATCCGTCTTCCCTTTACCACACGCAAACCACAAACTATATTATATACAAAAGATACAAAGCAAATTTTGTTCCAACACATTTTGTTTAGATAAATTTTTCATAGAAGAGCAAAATATAAAGAAAAATTAACAATACGATTTTAAACAAGTTAATTGTAGAAGAGTTTCTTGAAACTACCTATAAAGTGAAGGGACGGGATATCTATTATTTTGGAGAATGCATCTTTAGCAAGTTCAGGCATTCCAAACATCTTTCCACCAAACTTGGCTCCTGAGATCACAATCACCAACTTGATCTTGTCTACCTTCGCAAGTGCTACGCCCTAATTAAAGTCATCCAGTACTCACTTTAATAAAATCACATGTAGGTTTAATTTTAATCTATGATAAATTATCTATTTCGAGTGTCTTTAGAAAAATTATAAAAATTAGATTATTTGTTATACTTAATTATAATTAAGATGAAATGAAATTTTGTTTGAGTATATTTACCGAAAAGCAATTTTTATTTTAGAATGTTTAATTTTGTTTAAATACAATAACAAATGTCAATTTTCACGTAGTAAATCAGTTTAAAAGAAAAATAAGCTGTTGAAAAATAATTATAAGTTTTCTTACGTACATGTGCTTGCATTCCTGGCATCGCAGCCGCTAAAAGTGCTCCCTTAGAGACATTAATTCCATTTCCTGGTTAGTAAAATATGGGAAAAAAAACATATATATACATACCAAAAGTTGAGTACCTGAGAGAAACCCATGATGCCATCGAACCGACCATTTTCCAGCATGTAGTCTTGGATGAATTCTAAACCTTCTTCGAAGTTGGTATACTCAGTGAAGTCCTGTACACAAATAAATAAAATGTGATTAGTATGGTAACATGATATCATATCATATTTTAATATTATTAATATACAATAGAATACAACCTCATTGGCATGGAACCATTCATAGCCTTCAATACCAGAAGTTCCCTCAACGGGAAACGGGGCATCGAGGAAAACAAGGTCCAGCTTCTGTGTTACAGATTGAGGCCACTTAGTAAAGACTAATTGCTTGAACCTTTCACTTCACCAGTGCTTCCGTGCCCATGGAGGCACAAGATTCTGGGTTTTCTCTGCCTTTGGTCTTCCATAACGTTATTGCATTTGGCATTTGCCCATGCTACGTTAAACTTAATTGAATTCTAGCTTTTTTTTGGAATATGACTAGTAACTACTATTTTGTACCACCACACCAAACTACCAGTGATTCAATGAGGTAGCTGAGGCAATATTGATAAATATCCAGAGAAAAAATAAGGACATTTTATTTATCCTTTTAATTTCATTATCTGTTTGTATTTTATGTAATAGTAGTTATAGCACTTCATGTTTACGTGTAAAAGTTAGGCAGATAGTTATATATTTTCTGCAATACATTTACAGTATATTCCATCTTCTACATATGTTTGGTAGAAGAGAATTATTACATAATTAAGTGGTCAAAAATGTTAAAAAATAGAAATAAAATCTATTAGTAATATAAAGGGAAAAAATTTTGTAATAACTTCTTCCCCTCCAAAATTTTTTCCAACAAAATCAAATATAAATGTAATTATATAAAATATATTTTAAAAAATAAAATAATTCAGAAATTAGTCAATTTACTAAAAAATATATGAAATTAATACTAATAATTACTACATTTTGCACATATTATTAACAAAATTAAATAAAAAAATTAGATTAAAATATTATAATAATTAATAATCAGTATTAAATTTTAACAAAGACAGTTTTTATTAGTTATTAAATGACTATTAACAAAAGCCAATATCATTCTTTAAATCATATTGGAGTGTATTTTTCAAAATCAATTTTTTCTCATGATCAATTATATGCAACAATTTCAAGAGTTACATTAAAGAGAATTAAAAATAATTAGTTACTAATAATAAAAATGAAGATTAAAAAATGTGTTCTATTGTTATTTACAAAGAATTTTTTAATAATTTGTAACAAGAAGTTAGTATATATTTATTTTTAATGTTATTTTTTTTTACTTATTATTAATATTATTATACTTTATATTTATTAATGTCATTGATTTTTTTTTAAATCAATTAAATATTATATCATTCAATTTACTAAAATAAATAGTGCATCTAAGAAATATTTATCCAGTAATTATTAAAAAAAAGTCATTCTCTTTATGAATAGTCATATTTTGAAATATTTTATTTACAAAGCTTTTAGATGTTTCGATATTATTCATTAATCAAAATTACAGCTTTATTTTAATAACTTGCAAAACAACACTGTTGAAATGGTGGAAAAAAGTAAGAAGGAGAAGAAAATTTTAAATTTTAAATTAAAAGTGAAATAAAACAAAATTTTGAACTTTTGTCATTTTTCTATATTTTTCAAAATATATTGTTATTTATATATTTTTTCTTTATCTTTTCCCCTATAATCCGGTAGGTAGAGATATTGTAATGGTTAGCATTAATTGGCACTAATTTAAATTGAAGAATAATATTAAAAACACCTATAAAATATAAGAAAAATTTTAATTTTTTCTTCCATTCAAACTACTATAGACAATCTAGTACCAGAAGATTGAAATAATATGATAAGACCTCATGTTCAAACCTCAATCTCTTATTATTGTTATTATTATTCTTATGGATGAATTTTTTTTTCTTTAGTTTCAAATTTTGATTCTTTTAACTATTTTCCAAACAGATTAAGAAACTTTTAATTTATATACATTTAGACTTAAATTATCTTCATTTATTACTTCTCCACTTAAAAGTAATATTAATACTCTATTTAAACAAAACTTTATTACTCAACTGTACATAATTGGGAGAAATTACATAAAGATATAATAAATTCTTAAAAGAACTAAAGTTTTCAAAAACAAAAATAAAGAGATAAAAGAATCAAAGTTTTGAGATAAATCGAATAATAAGAAAAGTGTTATAAAGAACTAGTATTTCTCTTAAATTTATCATACTTAAATGAATAAGTGAATAACTTCAACGGTAATCTCCACCATTGTTTTCAAAATGTACCTTTGCAAAGTCTTAATTACAAGAGTACATATAAAAGTGTAATATAATTGAGAAAATTACATAAAAACATATTGAATTCCTTAAAAAAAATTAAAGTTTTGGAACAAAACTAAAATTCTAAAAGAATCAAAATCTTGATATACATGTAGTAATAAAGAGTATTAAAAAGATAATATAACATGTTATATTAGTCTTTTGAAATTAAGAAAAAAATGTTTTTTAAAATAATTTATGAATTATTTTAGTCTAAATGTTACACGTAACATATGATTAAAGTAATAATGTTATGTTTAGGGAAAAATAATAATAACTAATTAAATTTTAAAAATAAATAAATTTAATAAAAAAATTCAAAAACTTATTTAAAATTTCAAAGATCAATTTCACAACATGTAACACTTTAGGAATAAAAATTAAATGTGATTATTGGAGTGGTTTTCTGTACATATCTCATAATGATTTAGCAAAAGTACAGCAATAATTGCTTATAAAATTCTGTACCTACAAAATACTATTCCCTTTCTTGGTGTTTGTTATAAGAATTTATGTGAGATTTTATTATATTTTTTTAAAGAATTTTTTAAAATATTTATGTACTAACATTTTTTATAGAAATATTTTAATTACGAATTATTTTTTTAAGTTTAATAAATTAGAAGTGAAATACATTAGTGTCTAATACAATATTTTTTCAGGATACTCTATTAGATTATAATCTCGTACTCTTAACTTTGTTCCTATTACATTTCCTTATATGCATAACATTTTATAAATCTTATTTGTCTCTTTATATTAATGGTGAATGTAGTACCTCATAATTTTACATCATAGCAATTTTATTTAAGATACTTTACATGGTAACATTTTATATAATTTATTATTAATTAAAATCTTTTATTTTTTAAAACTCTTTTTGAGTAATAATTTCATCCAATCATCTTTAAGATCATTAACTAACCTCATAAACTAAAACAAGATTTTTTAACATATTTTGTTCTTATTCGCATATTTTTTAAAAAATTTATAAAAAGATCACTCATCTCTATGTCATTTTAAGTTAAATATGCTTAATTATAAAGTTTTTGTATGATGAATTATCAAAAATTAGATACATTTTGTTGATATAAGTAATACAAATTAATTTCTTTTAAGTCATTCTCAATTGCACAGTCTCACACTTATACAAATCTTTAAATCTTTCTTATTCTAATGTGTTCGGACTATTAAAGTGAATACAAATTAAAGTAAAATTTATATCATATTTAAGATGCTAAATTTTTTTTAGTACATGTGAAGGGAAGGAATAGAAGAGAATAAGAGAGAATGTGTGATAATTGATTTGATAGGAATTAGATAAGAAATTGAGTGAAATAGAATGTAATTTATAATTGTTTGATAGAGTGGAATTAAGTGGGAAATAAAGTAAATTTAGTATTTACAATTACTATTTTATCCTTACTTTATAATATAGTTAGAATTAATATTTTTTTGTTTTATGTAATTTTACATAATTTTCAAAATCTACAAGAATCCCTTCAATGAAGATGATATAAAATAGGATGTAAGATCCACTTCTGACTTTTCACAATTCTCCTTAAATACCCCCATACTAAACACAAATATATATTTTTTCAAATCCACTCCTATTAAATCCCCTCCCTATTAAATGAACTCGCACCAAACTTAAGCTAAAAGTTTTTACATTTTGATCCGTCCTTGCTGCAATAGTAGTTGGGAGGTCCATTACAAGAATTTTGTAATTAATGGAATATCTACTTGTGGGATTCTATCAGTTTCAGTCCAGCCCAAATGTCAAGTCCAACCAAGTGAACCAACTTATTCGAGGAAGTTGTTTCTATATAAATAATTTTTTTAAAACTATTCCTGAAAAAAAAAAAGTCATTTATATGCCCAATGTGAAGGAGTAAATATATTAATTAACAAAGAATAAACTTAATTAAAATTTTAAAATTTACAATTTCATTTATTTTTTTAATTTCTTTAATTACCAAACAATTCTATCATAAAACATTTTTCTTTATTAAATGTTCCCTATGTTAGTTTTTCATTAAATTTTTCGTTAGCTACAATTTTCATTTCACATTTATTTTCTTTAAATATCATGAATTTTCCATTCTATTCATTTAAAATGATAAGAAAGATCAAATTAAAACATCATTAATCCTATAAGAAGGGTTGAAAGAGGGGATTTAAGCACTTACGATATATGGAGATCACAAATTTCCCGCAAGAGATCTTGGAGTCATAATTTGAATGATCCTTCTTTTCTGCTACTTTATCTGTGACCATGCTTAGTAACCTACCTTGTTTCTAGGATTGAGCAAAACTCTCAATGTTTTAATGGATAAACGATTTGTATTTCTATATGTGAAGTTTATTTTTCTCTTGTTTTGATTCTTTTCCTACTAAGGTCGTTTATGCAAATATGATCATCTACTAATAAAATTCAAACATTAAAGAAATAACTAAAAGGAGAACTCAATTGTTGGACTAATAGAAAAAGAACTTAGGAATAGAATCCTGAAAATATTTTTTTATTTTCAAAGAAATAACTGACTGAATTACATTTTGGGCTACTTAGTTGGGTTCCATATCTAAAGCTTTAAATATTACTGTACAGAATTATCTCATTTATTGTTTTAGGTAAATAAGGAAGAGATAAAATAAAAATAGTTTTTTTTTACTATTTTCTTGGGACGAAAATGAAAAAAATATTAGGATAAAAAATAATCTCTTAAATTGGCATGAAATAGTGAAGAGAATATTTTAAAGTTATTAAAAAAATTACATAATTTTTTGACAAAAAAATAATAATTTGATGATAAGAAAAAATAATGGAGGAAAAAGGTTAATTTTTAGGTTAGTACAAAATTACCTTTTTCATTCTCTTTTTTTCCTACTTTTATTCGTCCAAAATACCAGGATTTTTTTTCTTCTACTTCTTTCCTTTTTCTTTTCTTTCATTTCTATCAATATAAATAATATATTGTTTTACTCTATTTCTCCTTTCTTTTCCTTTTTTTCCTCTATTTTACTTCAAATCCAAACAAAGTATAAAATGATTTTGACATGGTTTTATGAAATTTAAAAGTTTTTTTTTTAAAACTATTTTTATTTTTTTAATCATAAAAAATCTCACATTCATTCCTATTTTAAAAAAATTATATAAGAAAGATAAAAATAGAAAATGAAAAAAAAAACGATTTCCTGTGCAATTTTTTTAAAAGAAAAGTGACACATTTTTAATTAAAAAAAAAAGTAAAAACACGTTCCAATTGAATTTCTAATATTTAGTTAATATAGAGTACTAAAACACCTCAGCAAGCAAATTTCCAATGCAAACTGAACCATCATATTGGACCATTTTTTTCAAAAACAAAATTGAACAACATCGGCATGACAAAAATAAATCTTTTCCACTACATAGCAGCTGCAGAACAAATCAATTCCACTGCATAACAAAAATATATACTTTCCAAAACATATCAGTTACATTTTCCAGTGTCTTCCACCTACTACATCAAGCCTAACACCATCTACTAAAAAACTTCAAAACAAGCTCCTAGATTGTAAAACTTGCATTAAAGTGGATTTTTAAAAACTCACCTATTGGTAATCCTCTGTCAAGAGTACAACTTGCATTTTAACATTATATGTTAAATCCATAAATGCATCTATGTAATAAATAATTATTCAGATGAAAGTATATAAAATGAACTCAAATTTAACCATTGATTGACGCTGGCCTGATATATTTTAGTATATTACACGGAAACTTTTTTATTATATATGGTCTCAGTAAAGTTTCATAGTATATTACATAAGATTCAAGTCTTGACATGACAATCCTAAATCGTCCTCTGAATCGTGTCAATGAAATTGACCATAATTTCAAGACTTTCATCAACTGCAACAAAGAATCCCCAAATCAAAATCTCATATTTCAGACACATTACATGCACACAACCAATATTCAAATACGTGCAACCGACAGTCATAGGGTCTGTTTAGATAAAAGATGGAAACGCTTTAAAAACTTCTTTACTGAAAATAATAAGTTATTTCTAGGAAAGAAATTCGCAAAAATACTTATAGACTTGCAGTTAAATAGACTCATAGTTACAATGAACAAAATTACTAATCAAAGGAGATAGCACTAACCAAGTCTGGGGACTGTATGCCCTCCAGGGTGGTGAATCACAACAGGATTCTCGAATGCTTCCAACAAAGCAATGTTCTCTGACTGCATGAAATCCTTCTCCCCTTCACCACAAAACACGAACAAAGCATATTAACTAGTTCAGTAATATAATAAAACAATAGAAGCTACAAAGGAAAATTTGTTGAAACAATGAATCACCTATCAAGTGAAGGGACGGGCAATCAATTGGTTTTGAAAATGTATTGCAAGCCAGTTTAGGCATTCCAAACTTGTTTCCACCAAACTTGGCTCCTGATATCACAATCACAAACTTGATCTTGTTTACCTTCCCAAGTGCCACACCCTATATAGTCAACACAATCTAATTTAACTTTAGCCTCATTCCAAACTTAAAGCTTCATTTTTTATCAAAAGGGTCAACTTGCTATCTAAAAAGATTAATGTAAACTGTAAGGGACATTTGGGTATACTTCCACTCAAACACTTTTAAAATAAAATATAAAAATAAAATAACATAAACATATTATTAACTTTTTTAAAATCTTATTTTTAACTTATAGATTATTTTAATTATAACTTAAACTTAGAGATAAGTTCATTATAATTTTTATTTATTTATTTTTCTCTCTCAAAAATGTTTCTAGTAAATCTGGTCAACGATAAAAAAGATGAGTTTAATTTCTTTTTTGGTACCTGGGTTTGCATTCCTGGTATTGCAGCCGCTAAAATTGCTCCCTGAGAGACAAAATCCCGATTAGTGAGAAAATGGAAAAACAGAAGATACCAAAAGTTGAATAATAGCATAACCGCACCTGAGAGAAGCCAAGTATACCATCGAAAGGACCATTGTTGAGCATGAAATCTTCGATGTATGTTAAACATTCTTCGAAGTTGGTATACTGGGAGAAGTCCTGTGGAGAAATAGAGAGAAACGTTAGCATGATGAATAGGGTGATGTGACAATGCTTGTCCACTCCCCACAACCTCATTGGCTTGGAACCATTCATAATAAGGAGGGTCAAAAATGCCTTCAACGCTGGATGTTCCCTGTGCGGGAAACTGGGCGTCCAGGAAGACGAGGTCCAGCTTTTGTGTCACAGATTCTGGCCACCTTAGGACTAATTGCTTCAGGATTTGGCCACTGGTTCTGAATCCATGGAGGCACAGGATTCTGGGTTTTCTCTCCCTTTGGTCCTCCATGACGCACAAACTTTACTGCAGCTTACAACAGTAGATCTAGTAACTGCTAATTTGACCTACCAACCTCTGCTTAACAAAGACGGTAGCTAGTGTCAGATAACCGGTAATTAATGTCCCCAACGTGCAAAAGCTAGGAAGAATTATGCTTTTTAATAAAGTTGTTTAATATATACAAGTGAATAATATATCAATTATAAGTGTTATAATAAGTTATGTTATTTCCTAATATATTTGAGAAGATCGTGATTAATTAATTAATAATAATGTCATCATATCAATAAAAATTGGATGTATAACTAAATTAATGATTTAGTGCAATTTTTTTATGTGATAAATGTTAATATGTTTTATCTTGATGAAGTTGTGGATCTTGATCATGACATCCTTGAATCGAGTTGTGATAAATATTTTTTTGTAAAAATATGAGATATGTTGAAGAGTTTGGGTTAAACTTGCTTATTAACAAAGTAATAATTAAATGAGGTATATTTTATCATAGAGTAAAGGATAAGATTGGAGCATAAATAAGTGATAAAGTGATTGTCAAAATACAAGAATGAAAATTGAATTATTTTCTTTTAAATAAATTATTCCTTTTCAAATCAATGTTTCAACAAATAAGTTGTTGAAGTAAAATTAATTTTTATATTGAGCTTATTTTATTAAAATAGTTTATAAGTTTACTTGTTTATGATTTAGATTATACAGTGATATAATAATAATGTAATAAGCTAAATAAACAAGTAAAAAAGATAAAAAAAAAAAAAGAGAAAATAGACATAAAATTTATATTGATTCACTCCAAATATACTACATTTATAAGATTTTAATTTTTACTAAAATCATAGCCAATTATTATAGAAATTCAACCACCTATTGATATAATAATTACTACATAACCAATTACCATTAGCAACAACACTAAACCACCAACGGATAAATTTCAATCAACCACAAGTTGAGAAGGAGAGACTCACAACTATCTACTATAAGACACCACATAACACATGTTATAATCTTTATATTCCATCCTACATCACTGTATTCTCGTCACTAACCAGGAAATGTACATACTCTTAACATTTCTTCTTTGGCAATCATGTTCTTCTAAATTCATTTATTCTCAAAATGATAAAGATATAATAAAGACACATCGTATCTTTTTTTTTTTCTTCTTCTTTCC